AAAAAAATAATAAAATAAAATAAAAACACAAACTTGTGATGATTACCTATATGAGCTTATTACTTTTAAAATGCTGGCATTACAAGAACACAGAGTGCTATAGAAACGTCTGTGAAATAAATACATATACTGCTATTGCACGGGTTAAACCCTCGGGAAGATCAAATACAGAGCCTGCAGTTGCCTGCTCCTGCCTTCTACCTCCCCTCACTTGCTAGTCTCGTCCCAGAACTGGCTCCAATCTCTTAAATCAAGCACATGCGCTTCAACTTCCTGAAACACCATCCCTAGGCTCATTCTAACGTCAACAACTTGTGTCACTCAGGCCTCTGCCAGTGAAGGCCCCTGGCCAGAGTCATCGTTGTTGTTACGTTCCACAGAGTCAAGACCCTTGTGTACAATAGCTCTGAACCCTGTCCTATCCTGCGCCAGTCTCATTGCCTCCATCAAACCTACCCCTATTGCCCCTGTTACTGTGTCAATCCATCTCATCCGGGGTCTTCCTCCCTGCTCTGTCCCCTCCATCCTTTCGAGCATGATGTCCTTCTCTAAGGACTGGTCCTTCCTGACCACGTGCCCAAAAGTATGTGAGATGGAGCTACAAAATCTTAGGAAGCAGCCTGGTTTCACTCTCTGTAGGACAGACCTGTTTGTTCTACTGGCGGTCCATGGTGTGTATGTTCAATACTCTTCTTCTCCAGCACCACAACTCAAAGGCATCATTTCCTCTTCTATCACCTTTGGTCCTTTTCCAGCTCTCTGATGTAACTACATCCCTAATAAATTATTGACGAATAATGAACAGGAATGTTGTACGACTGCTTCATTTAAAACTGTTGATAAGGATTAACAACTAATCAAATCCACACAACTGAGTTAAGATTTGAACCCGTGACAGTCTATCTCTGAAGGCTAAGATCTGACCACACCACAGACTGGCCCCTCCTTTCCCTCAAATCTGGAGTCAGAGACAGGCAGGGAGGCGAGTTTAAACCTGTAGGTCTCTCTGTAGAGGGCCACAAGCTACCTTGGTCACTGGCCTTGGGTCCAGAGAAAGGGGCACCTGTCACGTGTACCCTCCTGGGCCAGCGCCCGCCGCACCCCGCGGCAGGAATGCAGCTCCGCCCCGTTCCCGCGCCTGCAAAACCGTGCTTGCTTAGAGGACTGACGTCAATGACTGGGGAGCCTCCCGGCGCCGCAAGGCAGCAGCTGGGGGCGAGGCAAGGACGGGGGCATACGCCCCCTCGCCGCTTCTCCAGCTCTAATTGGACAAGGGGAATCTCTGCATTCGTTTTCAGTGGCTGACTAAGGGAAGAAGGCGTCGTCTGGACACGCCCCTTCGCCCGTCTCCCGCATGCTGGTTGGTCTACTGCAGCTCCGCGTTAGGTTTTTGGAAGGTTCGCACCGGGGGGCTCACACCGAGGCTGCGGCTGAGGATTGGCTGTTCCGGAACTGGAAGCGCGTTCTCCAGGGAATCGTGGCTGCGATCTGGGCCGCCCGGTCGGTTCGGTGCTGCGTTCGGCCCGCTTCGGGCAGCCAGGTGCGTAGGTGGGCGGCCTGGCTCTGCGCTGCGGTGGGAGGAGGGTGAACAGGCAGAGCCGAGGTGCCACCGGGGACCCCAGCCCCCAGGTCCGCCTAGGGGCCTGTCGTTCTGTGAAACGGCCACGTCTGAGTTCTGCTAGGGGTGTCGCCGTGTTGCTTTGGCCCAGCCCTTATGCTGTCTGAGATGCCAACTGGTCTTTGTGAGCACCTTCGCAGCAGGAAGCCCAGGGGTGCACGCTCCAAAAGGGCCGTGGGAGGGATTGCAGTGGGTGCATCTTAGCTTGTCCAGATCCAGGTTTGCAGGGTCTGCCCTCTTTTAACTCCCCGCGGGCCAGGCTAGTGCCGAGGGCACAGTGGTTCCCTTGGGAGTCCTGATTTGGACCCCTGCACCCTCCAAAAGCTGCCCAAGCAAAGAACAGGTTACAGAGCCTTCTGGGTCTCCCTCTACTCTGAAATCTTGTCAGCCATCTGGCAGAATTAACAATAGTTGAAATCATGGGCACTGGGATCAGTCAGTCTGGATTCATATCCCAACTCCATCACTTTCCATCTGTGTAACTTTGGGTCAGTTGTTTACCTTTCTGAGCTCAGCTTTCTGATCTGTAAAATGGGTGTATTATAGTGTCTCCCATAAGGTGTTAGTGATGATAAGGTTCCTCACTTGACACACAGTAAGCTGTTTCGATGTACACCATGATTTAAAAGCCCACTTCTCCCTAAGCTCCATATATCTCCCTATGTCCTGTTCTACAAGAATGAAGGCACGTTTGGTGGTTTGATATTAGTGAAAATGTTTAAAGTGACTTTAGTTCTATAGTCCTTAGTGAGACTTTCCTTGTAATTGTTCATTCATTCAACTAGTATATGCTGAGTGTCTCGTGTGTCTAAGTACTGGGATAGGTGCTTATCTACCTTATCCTCTTATGGATTATTTTTCCTGGTGTTGTAGTGGCTAAGGAGTGCCATCCTAAAGGCACTTGTTTCAAATCCAACACCTGCTTTTTGGGAGAAAGACGGGCAGTCTCTTCCCATGCAGTTTACAGCTTCTGAAAACCCACTGAGTGTCAGCTATGAGCTGCTTCCGGCTCAGTGGCAATGTGTTGTTTGTCTGATGATGAGCAAACTAAGGAACAAATAGACTCGCCTGAAGTCACCCAGCTCTCAGTGGCACAGTCAGAAGACAGACTTCTAGAACTCCTCTCCCCTTACCCTAAATTTGATTTTAAAATTTGATTTTAAAATTGTATTCTGGTTTTGTTTTGTGACTTTGCTCTCTTATAGTGAAAACACCTGCCAACACAACTTCCACATTTACAGTTCAGTGACAGTGATTACATATATTTTGATTGATTTGAGTGAAAGTTTACAAAGCAGGTTGGTATTTTATTCACCATACATGCATAGTTTGATGACTTTGACCGATTCCACTTTCTCGCTGTTATAACACCACTCTTCCCATTCATTCTCTGTGGTTCTTGTTTCCATTCAGCCTCCCATCCTCCCTCTTTCTGACCTCTGTCCCTAAGCCATTGCTGCCCACTGCATAGTTGATATATTGTATTTTAATGCAGTGCCACCTATCACTATCCTCATTCAAATTATTCCACCACCATTGACTCACTGGCCCCACATAAAAACTTCCTCTTTACCCTAGACAACCATTAATTGCTATGTATGTTTATGCCTATAAATGAAATCATACAGTGTTTGTCCTTTTGTGGCTGACCTGTTCTCCTCTGAATTATTTCAAGGTTCATTTGTGCTATGGCCTGCAGCAGAACATTCTTTTTCCAACTGCCTAAGAGTCCACTTTGTGTATGGACCACATTTTGTTTATCTTTTCATCATCTGCTGATGGACCTTTTGGTTGTTTCCACCATGTGGCTGTTGTGAGAAGCACTGCAGTGACTACTGGTGTGTGTTGTAGAACTCTTGAAGAGTTATACCAAACTCGGTTGTGGTTGTGTCACCCTCGAGCCACAACCGAGTTTGCAAAGACTGTAAATTGCAAATTGTCAGAAAGGGGATGGACCATCTTTTCCCCATGGAGCAGGAGGAGGATTCAAACCACATACCTTTGTATTGGCAGCTCAGTTCCTTACCACTAAGCCACCAGGGATCCCTACTCCAAACTCTAGAAGCTGTTTATTTCTAGATTATATCTGAGAGTTGGTCTGGAGAAAGGGCCAGGTCTTTCTCCACCTCCTGGCACACAGATCTGGGGACCAATGTGTGTTTAGCTGGCTCTGACATACATGGTGAAGGAGGTCCACAAGAGTGGCCCTCCCCTTGCGGAATGACCGATTCTGGCTGCTATCCAGTGGCAATTCTGTGCAGGGAAGCAAGCCAAGGCCATAAATGTTGATTTGGCTTTGGTCCTGAGCTTCTAGAGGCCTTTGGCCTCCAATGACAGAAATTGCAGGTCACCAGAGTCATTCAAAGAGGGCAGACTGATAGGAACATGACATCTTTCAGTTCTGTCCCCTTATGCTTACCGACTCACCTAGAGCCAAGCTTCATATATACAGAGGACATTAAATTGTGTGCCACATTTCTCTACTGCAAATTCATTGCGTGGTGAGTCATTTTTAAATATATATTTCTTTGTTAGATCTCTCTCAGTTCTTCACTAATAAGCCTGTTACAAAACAAGTTGAACTTTGTCATTTCCAGCGTTGGTGTTGACTTTGGGGATTCATTTTTAACTAGTTTGTGCCAAATTGAGCAATCATTCTTTGCTCATTTGCTCAGACCCACGCTTATCTTCTTTTACATCAGCTCTGAAATGATGTATTTGTGATCTTTTAATAGCCTCATGGTTTCATTTTCCAGTTTAAAAACTACCATTGTTCAAGGGTACAGTGGTTTTCCTGGATTAAGATCCTGTTCTGGAAAACATGGGAAGTAATAATTGAGCACTGTGAGTGATACAAAGAGAGCTTCTCTTAATAATAATAATAATTTTTAAAAAAACTCCAAAACAAACCCACAGATAACATTGAAGGCCCCAGAAGAGGACAGGGTATATACTCTCACCTTATCAGGTAGACCACTCTGCTTTCTTAAGAATGTCTCTTGCTGTTTTTCTTTTGCTTTTCCAAGAGGGGTGTGTGCTGGTGGGGAGGGGTGGGCAGAGAGAAAGGTGCAACAAAGAATGAATGGAAATCCAAAGTCTCTGTAAATTTTCATTGAAATTAATAATAAAAAAAAATAAAAACAAAACCAAAAAAAAGTCTCTTGCTCAATAAACCTGTTTTTCCACTTACAAGAATAATAACAGTAGAACAAATAATATTCTTGTTCATCACTTCATTCTTTCTTTGAAAGTTTATCCTCTCAACTTCCTTGAAATCCACGAATTTCTGATCCCAGTCTCTGTCTGTTGTCTGGATCCCAGGGTGAGAGAAAGAGAAATCTCAGAATCTGGGTATGTTAAGGTCTCCTCAGGGTTTGAGGAAAGTCTGGTAGGAGCTGGAGCCTGAAACAGTCCCAGATGAGTTCTTGTTGGGTTTGTAGCTGGCGGAAGCCTGTGGAGGTTTCTGGCCTTGTAGCTCTGGCTGCTGGAACTGAAAGTGGCTCCAAGTTCTTTCCTTTGAAGGCCAACTACTGCTTGATCCATTCTCTGAGGGGAGGGAAGAGACAATAACCCTTCTAGAACCACCTGAGATGCGTCTAGGAGTCTCCCCTGGGCTTGGCTGTGGCTGGCCTAGGTTACTTGAATACTTTTTTGAGTTCTCTATATCCTGTCAAACTCCAGTCCCACAACCAATCCAGCAGCAAAACAGTGGCCAGGTTTCCAGGATGAAGGAGGAGGGAGGGCAGGGAGTTACTGACGGTGGAATTTTTTGGTGTCTGTGGAGCCAGATCTGTCCTGAGGACCCAGGAAACAAGCAAACCCAGCCCTCCTTCCGGACAGACCTAGCCCAGCCTTGGAATCCGTGACTCTCAACACTGAGACACACCCGCAGAGACCTTCAGCCTCAACCTGTTCTTACAGTTAGCCTCGCTGCAAGTGAGTGCTCAGCCCAGGCTCAAACCCATGCCCCTTGCCTTTCCAGGCTTGCTTTGTGGGAGCTGGAAAAATCTGCCATTCCAGGTGCCCCAGGATCAAGGCAGCCTGTCGGCCAGCAAACAGCTCTGGCCCTGAAGGAAGTTAAGTGAATGGACTAAAAAGAAGTGCCGAGCTCCACCCCTGTCTCGTGTGCGCATAATTTGCCGCCCTTCCCTCTCTCCTGGGTTTCCCCCGTGTGAATTAGAGAAGCTTTCCTCACAGGAATATTGTGAAGAGGCGTGCTTTCTGTGAGCTGCTTGTCTGCAAAGGCCCCTCGATGGTTTGGAAGCATGAGCAGGGTCACTGGACCAGGTTCTGGCCTTGCTGAACTGCTCTGATTTATCTCTGCCTCTCAGAGGCCTCCTTACAGGTTTGCAAAATGGGATGAGCATACTAGTGCCCAGTTCTAGGTTTATTCTGAGGATGAAATAAAATCATGCACATTGATTGTTTAATACAGAGGGAAACCCTCTTTATTGGTGGTGTTAGTAGCCCACGACTCAGGGCTCTGTGCGTGGCGGAATGACACACTGCCGGCCTGGGTCACGCCATTCCCATGATCCGCTGCACATCACAGGTTGGGGATCCACAGGGCTGATATTCAGCAGACAGAGATCTGGTGCTGGGGACTGTAGCAAGTGAACACTATTAACCCAAAGACTGCGTCTCTGGTGATTCAAAACCACCAGTGAGACCCCTGTGACTCAGAGCCTCAGAAATCCTGTGGAGGGTCACTCCATACACAATGGCAGTGCGTTCGAGTTTCCTTTATTTTAAGTAGATTGCCAGGCTTCTCTTCCTAGTCCATCTGAGTCTGGAAGCTTCAGTGATATCCTTTCAACATCTTATTGTTGCTGTTACGTGCCGTCATAGCAACCATGTGAACAGCAGATCTGAACCTTGCTCTGTCTTGTACCATCCGGGATCAGTCAGTCTCTCTGAAGGTTTTCTTCTCTTATGCTGAGTGACCCTCCACCTTTCCAAGCCTAATGACCTTCTCTAAGGACTGTCCCCTCCTCACAGCATGCCTAAAGTGATTGAGATGAAGCTTCACCATCCTTGCTTCCAAAGAGCTCCATGCACATCATAGTGACAAACAGAACCTCCATTGACAGGTGGGTGGGGGTTGTACAGAAGGTACCTTAGCTGAGAACTGAGCTTGCGTCTCCCTGATAGGAGACAAGACTTCTATGCCAAAACTCACACCCACTCTTGCCTTTTTGTCTTTATCAGCCTACTTGGTCACTGCATTATTTCTGGTCACAGTGTGTGTATTATTTCTGGTCACATTGTGTTTGTATCCAGTTCTTAAGGGTTTACTTACAACACATATTTGGGGTTTTTAAAAATATATTTGTAAAAAAATTATATCAACTCAACCTCATTGCCATTGACTTGGCACCAACTCACAGCTGACTCTCTAGCAGGTTTTCAGTAGCTGTAAATTGCAGAGATTGCCCATCCTTTTCCTTTAGAGCGATGGGTGTATTTGCACTGCCAGAGAGGCAGCCTCTTTCAGCTAGCAGCACTGCTTTCTATGGACTACACACCCAGAGTTCTCTTATAGGGAACACAAACTAGGTTTACATTGGAATCCATCAGACATCAGCAGTGATATCCCTTGTACCATGGCCTCTTCTAAATCCAGCCTAAATGTCTGGCAGTTTTCTGTTGATGTACTTACTGTTCTGGCCATTTTTTAATAATCTTTAGCAAGATTTTACTTGCATGTGCTATTAATGATATTATTTGATAATTTCCATATTTTGTTGGGTCATCTTTTTGGAGACTGGGAAAATGATAGATGTTCTCCAGTCTCCAAATTTCTTAGCATAGCCTGATGAGCACATTCACGATTGGCTGCATCTGTTTGTGGAAATATGTCAGTTGGTATCCCCTCAATTCCTGGGGCCTTATTTTTTTTGCCAATGCCCTCAGTGAAACTTGAACTTACTCTTTCATCACAACTGGTTCTTAATTATATGCTACTTCCTGAAATGGTTTCATGTCAACCAATTCTTTTTGGTACAAGAACTCCACATATTCCTTCCATGTCCTTTTGATGCTTCTTGGATCATATGGGGTTTTGCCATGATATTTTTCAGTATTGCACAAATATAATTTATGTACCTGCATCTCTGCTTGTTCATAGTTTGTTCTTTTGAGTATAGTACTTATCTGTCAGTTTACTGTACTTAGATAGTTGCTGGCTTCCTGGATACTCTACTGCTCAAAGCTTTGCTACTGTTATTTTGATACAAGCATGTCAGCCAAGGTGGACAGGTTTTAGCACAGCTTCCAGATTAAGACAGACTAAGAAGAAGAATTGGCCATCCACTTCTGAAATAATCAGCCTTTGGAAATCCTGTGGTTACACCAATAACTAAAGCCAAAGATGAAGAAATTGAGGATTCCTAGTTCATTTGCAGTATGATATTTTTAGAATATGCAATCAAGATTCATTAATAGTAAGTGGTGATTAGAATGCAAAAGTTAGAAATAAGGAAGAAGGATGTATTTGGAAATTACAGACTTGGAGACAGAAATGAAGCTGGAGATAGAGTGATATAATTTTGTACAATGATTTATTCATTGCAAATACTTTTTTTTAATAAACACAAGCACTGACTATGCACATGGACCCCACCTGATGGAATGCACAGGAATCAGATTGACAATATGTGTAGAAAGACTTGTTAAAGAAGCTCAGTATCAACAGTCAAAAGTAGGCCAGGTGCTGATTGTGGGACAGACCATCAATTGTTCATGTGCAAGTTCAAATTGAAGTTGAAGAAAATGAAATGAAAACAAGCCCACAAGAACCAAAATATGATCTTGAGTATATCCCACCTGAATTTAAAAACTATCTCAACAATAGATTTGAGGCTTTAAACACTTATCAAAGACCAGATAAGTTGTGGAATGACATTAAGGATATCATCTATGAAGAAGGCAAGAGGTCAAAAGAAAAGATCAAAAGGGATGTCACAAGAGACTCAGAGAATTGCACTGGAACACTGAAAGGCCAAAACTAGGAGAAGTATTGCAGAAGTGAAGGAGATGAACAGAAGATTTCAAAGGGCAGCTTGAGCAGACAAAGCAAAGTATTATAATGATATGTGTAAAGAGCTGGAGTTAGAAAACAAAAAGGAGAGGAGCTCTGGTGGCCTAGTGGCAAGGAGCTGCAACTACAATCCCAGAGTCGCACAGTTCAAATCCACCAGATGCTTTGCCAAGGAAGAAGGAACAATCTCCTTCTGTACCAGACAGACCTGATTTGATGGTACACTCACACAAAAATAATAAAATAAAATAAATAAAACAAAAAGGGAAGAACTCACTCAGCCTCAAGCTGAAAGCTGGAAAACAAAAGCATCAATTCTTCTTTATTCTTTGTATCATTCAGACCTAAGTATCCTGGCATGGATATTCCCAGCCAGACCAACTTGGCTTCTCCCCCTTGCTCTGCACTTTGACAAATGACTCTGGGGCCACAGACAAGCCATTTTACATCAGAGTCAGTCATACTTCTTTACCTGTAAAATGAGAATAAACAGTAATACTTACTTCACAGGCTGCTGAGTGTTAAGTGAAATAATACCCGTGTCTTACACATAAATAAGCACTCACTAAGGTTTTGCCATTATTACTTCCCCAAGGGACTGACTCCATTTGGACTCCTGCAGCATGGAAACACCGGTAGCCTTTGCATTAGTTGGGACCCCCCCCCCCAAGGCTGAGCTGACTCCTCCCCCCTGCTTCCTTTCTCAGAGCACCCAGCATGGGCACCCCAGCTTCAGTGGTGAGTGAGCCACCCCCGTGGCAGGCCCCAGCCATGGCCCGGGGCCGCAAGCAGGCCTCAGCCAACATCTTCCAGGACGCCGAGCTGCTCCAGATCCAGGGGCTCTTTCAGCTCAGCGGGGACCAGCTGGCTGAAGAGCGAGCGCAGATCATCTGGGAATATGCAGGGGACCACCACGTGGCGGAGGCCTTGAGGCGGCTGCGCAGGAAGAAGCCCCCACGCCAGAGGGCACTGGGCCACACGCTCCATCCCTGCAGCCAGCTCAGGTAGGTCCCTGGGACTAAGGGACTGAGGGAGGCAGGGCGCTAATGTACCGGCTCCACCGGATCCCAGCTCTGTGACCTTAAGGTTGGTGAGGCCTCACTGGAAAGCACTTACCTTGGGGTTCTTATAGTAGGTCTACACAGTCGATTGGCACTTACCATTGGCTTACCATTCGATTGGCACTCAGAAGACTGCAGTTACTATTGGTGTCCTATGTGGTCCGTGAACTCTACGAGTGTCCTCCCATGAGAGGGGGTACCTGAGTCCTGGCAGCAACCTCTCATTCTGCAGTGATTGTCAGTCAGGAGGGGAAAAGTAACAGCAAGTCAGTTTACCTGTGATAGGTTGCCACTCTCCAAAAGTAAGCCTGGCTAAATCATGGCTGGTGGGGTTCCACCAGCCTCCCTTTGGAAAGGCTGTTCTGGTCAGCCCTGTTGGTGGGCAGTCAGTCTTTGGAAGAGTGACATTTCCTCAAGTCTAGGGATAAACCTTACCACCTTGAGGTCAAATAATAACTGAACCTATTGTTCAGTGTGTAACAAGGCACTTAAAGAGGGGCCTCTGGTGGCCCAGTGGGCAGAAGCTGCACTGCAATCCCAAAGGCACTTGATTCAAATCCACTAGCTGCTCTGCAGAAGGTTGGGCAGTCTTCTTCCGTGTGGTTAACTGCCTTTGAAAACCCGCTGGAGGGTCAGTGATGGGGCAGTTCCAACTCAACAGCACACAACAACAGCAAAACAACAGCAGAGGCATGGGTTAAATGGGTTTAAATGGTTAAATGTCTTATGGATAGAGTATCTCCCCGTAGTCCTGCAGCTCTCCATCCAGCACTCCTGTGACAGTCTGAGGGTACCACCTGAGCCACATGAATCCAATGGATTGCTGTGGGTGATGCCCAGGGGTCCATCAGACCTGAGCGGGTCTTTCAAAACCATCTGGGCCTACGCTGGCTAATCAGTTTCATTACTTGTTTATCAGTTCTGATGGATTATAAATCACTGCTTAAAGCACCTTGCTTATAAATATACTTGGTCCTTCTTGGTTCTTCTGATCACTTGAAGATGTGAGAGAAGTGTCATAACTTACTTAAGAGTCTGCCATGAGCACAGAGAGAAATGCTGAGAATTAATTGCACACCCTGCCTCGACCACAAAGTGGGAATGATTTGCATCAAGTTATACAGCTCTCTGCGTGCAGAGATGAGGCTTGAACTGATTTTGCTCAGGGCAGTGGTAAGCACTTGAAAACCTCTTTAGTAGTCCTCATTCTGTCCTCCCTGCTGATGTTGGCTTGTCATTTTTGTTCCCTGCAGAGTCCCAGGGCCGTGCTCTCCACTGGTTGACCCAGAGAGTAGTAATGCTGTGGAGGCAGCCGCCAGTGAGCAATACGCCAGGAAGACGAGCACGAGGGTCCGCCAGAACTGGAGGAAGCCGGGCCCCTCAGGCTACCTCCATAAGATCAGACACTGATCCAGGAATCATAGGGACTTCTGCCTGGTGAGTGAGGAAGAGAGACGTGAGGCAGGTGGCCAAGATGGGTAAAGCAGAGTGCCCACTGCCAGCCGTCTGCCCAGCTCAGAAGAGGGCTGGTGGCTTCCGCTGGGCGTTGCAGCCTGAGGCCCACTCCTCACCACACTGAGAAGAAACCCCAGCAGCTCCTGCCTCAGCCCTTCCGGGTCTAACACTGCACCCGGGCTGCATGAGATTCCCCTGGGAGGCGAGTGACAAGCATGCAGACTCAGCACGGCACCACTCTCGCTACTAACCCTCCTGTCACTACTGTAAGGTCTAGCAGCCCGACCCACACCTGCCCCTCGTCAGGCCAGCACAGCACAAGGACACTGATGTAAATGGCAAATAAAGACATGTGTGTCACCAACTGTGTCTGTCACAGGTGGGGATTCTGGGGCAGAGGGGGGAGCTGAGGGGAAGCCCTCATTGCTGGGGACTGGTGTTCCCAGGAAAACAGGACTGGCCCTTTTGCTTCTCGCTCCGTAACGGGGGAGTTGCTGCAGTGCAGCCTCTGGCAGAGTCTCAGTCTAGGAGGGGGCAGGGTTCTGGGTGCCTCACCTTCAGAAAGGCTGTTCTGGTTCAGCCCTGTGGGTGGGCAGTCGGTCTTTGGAAGAATGACATTTCCTCAACTCTAGGGGTAAAACTTGTCACCTTGAGGTCAAATAATAACTGAACCTACTGTTCTTTTTTTAAAAAATTTTACTTTTCATCTCTCTTCCTTGGACCTCCTGTTCTGACGTCGTGTTCCCGTAGCTTGAAGGGACTGTCCTGAACTCTGAAAACCTGGTGAAACGTCAGATAGGAGTTGGTTCCAACTTGACAGTATCTATCATCCTGAATTCACCTCAAAACAAATGTTCTTTGTGCTCGTTAGCATTCAGATTCACCTCAGAAGAAACATTGTGTGCTCACTGGCGTTCAGTTCACCCCCACCCCAAACCTCCAGCTTGCCTGCCCCGCACTCAGAGGAGCCAGGAGCCTCCAAGTTCCCTGTGGGGCAGTGAGGCACACACAGGGCCAGGCTGCCCTCTCGTGGCCAGAAGTGAAGCTGCGGGCACTATCTGCTGGTCCTTAATCCTTTTGCAGGAGAAAGACGGACCCTCTCTCCTCTATTGGGTCCGCTTTGAGTCGGTTCCAACTCAGATACCTAAAAACATGTTCCTTTATCACACACAATCAGCTAGATAATTTTGGAATTAAGATGATTTTGAGGGAGGAAGCAGACAAACTCTTAGGAGAGAACCAGCTCGATCAAACATGGAATTTCTGCAATAAATGCTTACACTGTGGGGTGCATAACGAATATAGTTTCCTGTCTTTAGAATTTACCATCAGTAAGTCACGTAAGGTCAGGTTTAGTTTTCCAGGGCAAGACTCTGGACTTAAGGGCTATCTCCCCTTTTTTCAATTTCTTGCCTGCTGCTACCATGGGTGTTGACTGTGGATCCAAGTAAAATGAAATCGTTGACAACTTCAATCTTTTCCTCCATCTATCATGTTACCTATTTGTCCAGTGGTGAAAATTCTTGTTTCCTTGATGTTACACTGTACTCCATATTGAAGGCTGCACTCTTATTTCTTCAATAAGTGCTTCAAGTCTTCACTTGCTGCAAGCAAGATTGTGTCATTTGTGTAACACAGGTTGCTGAGTCTTCCTCCAATCCTGACGCCACAGTTCTTCAGAGTCCAGCTTCTTGAATGATTTGCTCAGCATACAGATTCAGTAGGTATGGAGGAAAGATAACAGCATACACCTAACATACCCCTTTCCTGCTCTAAAGTCATGCGGTGTTTCCTTGTTTGGACAACTGTTTCTTGGTCTATGTTCAGGTTTTGCATCAACACAATTATGTGTTCTGGCATTCCCACTGGGGAAACCTGCCGTCAAGGACCTCTTTAAAATGCTAGAGAGCAAAGATGTCAATTTAAAGGCCATGGTATGCCTGATCCAAACCTGGGTATTTTCTATTGCTTCCTATGCATCTGAGTAAGGACAATGAATAAGGATGATAGAAGAATGATCATTGATGCCTTTGAATTTGAAGTTGGAAAAGAGGATGAATATACCATGAGCTGCTAAAGGAACAAATAAACCTGTTTTAGAGCAAGTGCAAGAGTCCCCAGAGTCAGGGATGGTGAAACTTTGTCTCTTACTTTGGACATGTTGTCAGGAGAGGCCAGTTGGGAAAAGGCATCATGCTGGGAAGGGTAGAGGGTCAGCCAAAGAGAGGAAAGCCCTGGAGGAGCTGGACTGACACAGTGACTATGACAACGAGCTTGAGGATGACGGAGACTGTGACCATGAGTAGCACAGGACAAGGTCAGATCCGATCTGTGGTTCACGGGCTTGCTGTCAAGGAGTCCTGGCAGTACACATGTTCAGCTCTTTCCCTGGGACACAGCCCATCTGCTCTGTCCCATGTGGTCACTGAGTCAGAACCGACTGGGTGGGTGGCACACAACACAGCACCACTTCCCCTCAAGGCTAAGGAGTCATTGCTCAGCAACTCCAGAGAACACAGGCTGCTTCTGTCCTTTAAAATCGGTTCTACCCTCCTTGTCTCTTTTCCCCCAAAGAAAGCAAGCCAAAAATATGTATCAGAATTGGGTTTGTTATTCATACATTTGCATTGATTTAAATACATTACATACAATTTCTACAGTGCATTAGAAGAACAATACAGCGGCAGCAGCACTCACAGCCCAGCCTCCACTCCCTGACATGGACAGGGCTATGGCTGGCAGGACGGGCCATCAGGAGTGCCACCCAGAAGCCTGCCCTAGCACTCTGGGCCACTGGCTCTCCCAAAGTCCACATTCAAGGCAATCTGAGTACAGGTTTCAAGGGAGAATGGACACAGACCAGGAAAGGACACTCCACGCTCTTGTGGCTGCTGGGGACTGGGACCAGCACCCTCTCACATTGGACCCAGTTTCCTTCTGATCACAGTGCTGGTCTGGATCAGAACAGTGTATCCATTGGGCTTGGCTGGGTAAAGCAGCCAGGCTCCCCGGCCTCTCAAGCTCCCCTGTAGAGTGCTTCACCTTCAAGTCTGTGTAAAGATGTCTGCAGAGCGAAACACCCCTCGCTCTCCCTTAGCCTCCTGCATTCTGGGACAGGCCGATTTCTCAATGGGTCACAAGCCCCATGTGAGAAGGTGGGCTGGAAGGGGTTCTGGGGTCTGGAGCAGCAGAGGAGCTGTGTTGAGCAGCAGGGCATATGCATCCAGCTCTTAGAGACCCTCCCGGTCTCCTGGGTGGAAGCTCAGGGCAAGGTGGCTCTTGGAGCTGAATGGAAGGGGACCAGCCTGGCTCAGATGATGGAGACTGTACCTCTCGACTCTGCCTCTCGGGTCCCAGGAGGTGGGCACAAAGCATAGGCCTCACTCCCTCTCTTTGGTGGTTTTTCAAACTTTGAAGATAGTTTCTTGCCAAGGCTGATTGACCAGTCGCAGGGTGTCAGGAGGGTATTTGAGTGTATGAGCACAGCTGTCCTTAGCCACAGATGACACCGTCTTCAATCCCTCCTGAGGCTGTTCTTTGCTTTGGTGTAGAAAGGGCTTGGACACCTGGTGGGGGGTGGGAGGCAACTATGGGAAAAGACCCATTGAAACAAGATGCACACAGAGCTGGGCAGGGACTGGGACAGTCTGAAGGCCACTCTCCTTTGGGCCCTATCCTCCTTAAGAAGCCATGGAGACACTGGCTTGGGAAAAAGAAGTCAGAGAACCAAGGGCAGCTGCCAGTTATGAGGCAGAATACAAGTCCTAGGACCTCATCAAGCAGCAGTGGTAGCATTTTTTTTAAAAAGTCGAAGAATCTACTATCCTGCCCTCTTCTGAGCTGAGAACCATCCTAAAACCCAGAAATGAACCTCTGAGAGTTGGGGGAAAAATATTTAAAACAATAGGAAAAGTTAAAGGACTGAGAGTTTGTCAGCTAGGATTCGAGAAACAAGGCGGGGCCAGGGACTGAGCACAGTGCCCAGCGTCTGCTTAGACCACGTGGCTCACTTCTGCTTGTTGGGGAGTCTTCCTAGCAAAACAGAAGTGACAACACTAGCCCTACCCATCTCTGCTTGAATGACAGACAAGCTGCAGGCCTGGGCCAGAAATGCTGGGTCCCTGGGAGGGCAGAGAGCAGGGAAGGTGGGTGTACAAGATCACGTGTAGCACTTCTGAGGGGTCTGGAGCAAATGATGCCATGAGAACCGGCTGGTGACTTCCAGTCAGCCTACAGCACTAGTGAGAGCAAGAAGGAGAAGACGACTTGGCAAAAGCCAGAGGAAAGGGTGGCTGCTTCTGACCCAGCACTGCAGATCACCTCGTTGCCTCGGGCACAGCCTGGGTACACAGTAGTGTTTGGGTCCATGCAAATGGACGTCTGGACTGAAGGTTTCTGATGTGACAGGCTTTGGGTTTGGCCGCTAGCGTTTACGTTTTCATTTTTGCTGTTTTCTGATGCAGAACATAACCAATAATGAGGAACTGCAGCAGAGCGGGGGAAGGGGTTTTCCCAGCCTGCCCCCAGAAGATGCTGGAAGAGGGCGACCCTTCTCAGGCATGTGCACTCCTTGCGGGGAGCTGACCCTCCTCAGCACACAGAAGGGCCCAGGAGCACACACTGTCCCTCTGCTTGAGCTTCTCCCCACGCGTGGGAGAGCCCTGGGAGGTGATGGGCAGAGACGGAGGGCCGCGAAGGGCACTGCTCTCCAGCAGCTTCTCTGACTTTTCTGGCAGCCTGTTCCCCAGGCTTCCTCTCCATCCAAGTCTCAGGCGACGCTGCCTCAGCCTGCCTCCCGGGCTACCACCACGAGAAGAAGGGCTTCCGACTCTGAAAGCTCTGCGTGTAGGACTCGCTAGAGGACCTCTGGTGGGAACGGGCCGTCTCCACGATCACAGGCGGCATCTGGACGAGGTGCAGGGGACTCTTGTTGTCTTTCAGAGCCTGGGTCAGATTTAGGATCTGTGGTGGGGAAAAGGAAATCAATAAGGGAAAGGCCTCGGGCCTCCAGGCCTTTAAAAAACAAGTGAAAGCAAAGGCCTTGCAATGAGCAAAGGTACAAGAGCACTCAGTGTTGGGCAAGTTAAAGATCGAGATACTGCTATGAGACTTTAACTTGGGGTGGTCTTTGAAGAAAGCAAGTTGAAATAAATAAGCATCAAAAGCTTAATAAAAACCAACAGACCTTCTGACTCAACATTTCTAAGGATAAAATCACAAAAATGCACAAAACATATGGTTTGGCTTTTTTTTTAAAAAAATATGGTTTCAATGAAAGTACTACAGTATTGCTGCTGATGGTGTTGATGGTGTTGTTAGGTGCCGTCGAGTACGACTCACGACTACCTTATGAACAAAACATCTGAACCCTGTTCTATCCTGCGCCATCCTCACACTTCGGACACACAAGAGCCCATTGCAGCGGACACCGCGTCAGTCCACCTGATTGAGGGTCGTCTTCTCCTCTGCCACCCCGTCCACCCTTCCCAGCATGCCCACGAGGAGAGCTGATGATGTCAGTAAGGAGCAAAAAAGCCGTTAAAATGTGTAGAAAGAAATTTCTTGGCATAGAAAACTGATCACAATATTGCTGAGTAGAAAAGAAGGGAGATAAGAAATACAGCTATTTATTCTTTCCTGTGCTTTAGAATAACAGTGCTTTAAATTTCCTCAGCTCCCCTTTTGGAAAGTGAAGTAAACAGATGTGATAATAGGATAGGCCAGAACTGTTAACAACACAAGTCATAATCATAGCCAATATCTGAGTGTGTATTCCCTGGCACGCTTGTTTGCAGGTACAATCTCATTTAATTCTCTTGCCAACTGTCCACTATTATTACTATTCCATCTGATATAAGCAGAGGTCCATACACAAGATCATGGAGTTTGTTTAGCAGAGAAGTGATCTGACTCCAGAACCCAGCTCTTAAGCACCATCCTACAGTGCGTACAGAAGCACAAGACAGTAGCTGCTCACGAAGCCCCAGAAAATGTAGAAGAGGTGAGTATTTCCTTTCCCCTCTCCTTATGGCGGAGTCACAGTATGTCACAGACTCAACTGGTCTACAAAACACAGGCTTTACACATTTGTTCAACATGAGGACCTGTCTCCCAGAGGAATTCCAGGGAAGACATTCAAGAACATCCCAGGCCTACCTGTCCCCGCATGACAGCAATCTGCTTGTGGAACTGGCCCCTATCGAAACCAGGATCTTTCTGAAAAGAAGAAACAGAGATGGAACATGCATGAATCCTACAAGGAGCCTATTTTCACCCCTAGTCAGACACTTTCTCATGGAAAACGGTTGGCAAAATTAAGTACCATCGAAGCTCTTCCTGTTTCAGAGATGAGAGAAACAACAAATAAAGATCTTGTCCTGAGTCTATCAGCTCTGCAGAGCTCTATGCTCCTAGTTATTCAACTGAAAAGAAAAGTTCTATGAACACACAGTAGCCACAGGAAATACCAGTGCAATCCCTCACAGCTGTCCCGTTTCTTTCAAACCAATCCAACCACATGTGGGACTTTCTGTCCTCACTGACTAACTCAGTCAGTCACCAGTCCCTCGCAGACTGTATTAAGGACCAATTAGAACTACCAGTAGCAATTCCTTCTTTTATATGGTGTTCTGATGGACAGTGGGAAAGGAGATGAAATGCCAATCCAGAAAGAAGCAGTTCTAATCCACCAGCCGCTCCTTGAGAGAAAGATGGGCAGTGTCCTCCTTTGTGATTTAGAGTCTATGAAAACCCGCTGGAGGGTCAGCGATGAACAACCACCCCAACAACATAAGGTAAAAAGGCTGAGGTTCCCAGAGCTAACCTTGAAGAGTTCATACAGGTCCTCTTCCAAATCCTTGACGAAGTTAGGGTCCGAAATCTTTGGAAGAATCAAATCTTTGATCTCCTGAGAGAATGGGATTTTTGCCTGGGGTAACCAGGCCCAATAAAAAGGATCTGAAAAAAGGAGAGGACAAAAGAAAAAGCTAGTCTGTAAAGTCCCTGTACATCAAAGCACTGCCTGGGACTGAAGCCCTCTCTCTCCATGCACAACAGATAACACTTAACAGGGCTATGAACCCCAAAGTTACACCTGTAAATGGAAAAACCAGGGTTCCAACACAGATACGCCTCATCCCAGAGCCTGCCTTCTTTTCCAGACAGTATAAAGCCTTCCTCTCTAGATGCAACTATTTACTAATGAAACATTGAGATGGTCCTTCTTTAGGGATATAATAATGCAAAAGGGGCTAGTGACCCCTGCTTGGACATTTTTTTCTCCCTCTTCCTCAAAGTTTCTTAGTTTTAATGGGGCAAGGGCTGACTTCCGGAATGTTAGCTAAGAAGACACAATACTGACAGCAGCTTACACAAAGAGTACTTTATAGTAAGCTAGTCCTCTGAAAGAATGAAGGGAATGGAAAGTGGAAATTAAAAAAAAAGACCACTTTATGCTTCTGATAGGAATAACATAAAGTAAGATTTATAACTGTGTACATTATGAAGGAGTGGCCATGTGCCAGCCATGGTGTTAAGTTTGCTCTTAGAAATTTTTAAAGCAATTCTATCACAGAGACACTACTATCTCCACTGCACAGGTGTGGACACAGACAAAACAAGAAGACCAGCCCACGGTGGTCCTGAGACTTACACGCCCTCCAAGAGTCAGGATGCTTCAGTGGGAAAGCCAGCCCGTTGTCTATAGCAGCCACCTTGATGACAGGCTCCTTGACCACCACCCAGTCTGTGTCCTGAAAAGCAAGGAAAGACTCCTTAGGATCGCATCTATCGCAGGCCCTTGAAAAGAGGTAAAGCATCCTAACTCCTCCAGTGACCGTTCAACGGATTTTGAGCTACCCTCTGAACTGATGTCCACTGTGGTATCTGAACTTAGCACATTTATAGCATGTTCGAGGTTCGCAAGAATCCCTCTCTCATCTTATAGCAACGTACACTTCTCCAGAAGTTGCCACTGCTCTTGATACGAAGGAAATGACAACTCGAAGGGAAAGGACAAGTATGAGCCAGGACTCGTCAGGACAGGCACTGAAAATCCAAGTATGAAAAGAGGAGGCATCAGTGTTGGTTGGCCAAGGTACTCTTGAATAGGCCTTGACTCAGAATTCATTTTACTGGTGGTGACTACACCTTCCAGTGAGAAAACAACCATGGAAAATACTGCTCTCGCAGTAGGAAGTCTGTTTCTGTCTCAGCAATGCATAAAAAGGAAGTCAGCCTTTTCTCAGTGTTCTGTGGAATTGTCGTCTATTGTTAGAAAAGTACTGTATGCTGGAGAAGAGTACTGAATATACCAAGGACTGCTAGGAGAACAAACAGGTTTGTCCTGGAGAGGATGAAGCCGGGCTGCTCCTTGGAGGCAAGGATTCTGAAGCTCTGTCTGACATACTTTGGGCATGTTGCAAGGAGGGACCAGGCCTTGGAGAGGGACATCATGCTTGGGAGGGTGAAGTGACAGTGCAAGAGAGGAAGACCCTTGATGAGATGGATTGACTCAGTGACTGGGGTAATATGTCAGAGATGGTGAGGTCGGTACAGGAGAGGGCAGATTTCAGAGCTGTTGTACATAGGGTCGCTATGAGTCACATGCAACTCGACAGCACTTAATGACAACAACAATAAAACAATATTTCTTAGGCCTTGACTTTGTGACTGTGCAGTATGCAACTCCAAGAACCAGAGATAGTATATAAAATAACATGTTGCAAATTTTACCTTCTCATCACACTGTTAACATCCTACCAACAACAAGAATTCCTTAACATAGACTGAAGCACACTAATGTAAATTATATTTTAGTAAATAATAACTATCAATATTGGTTTATCAATTGTAACAAATGTACAACAGGCATGCAAGATGATTATAAGTAATAGCAAAACAGTTGGCAAGGGGAAGACAGCAAATATTAGCTTTTTTCTATCAACTGTAAATAAATGTACTATCTTGATTCTCCTGAACTTACTGTGACCTAAGTCTCTGACTGATTATGTGCTTCCATATCATACAGAAACCCTTCCTCATGGCCCTTCTTTAGGATAACTGATCCACTTCTTACCCGGGAGCTAGAACTATCCATTGGACAGTCGTATTTAATCAGCCAGTTGTCATTGCCTCGATCTGTGGACAGAAACAAATATCAGTTGAGAAAATTGGGACGGACTGCCATGATGACGAGCAGGTATTGGAGATGCCTGGACAAACTCTTCTACTGAGAACAATTATTACCCAAACCATGAAGAATTACAGTGTCAGGAAAGGAAATTCAGAAATGGTAGCCCAGCATTTGTGGCTTTTCCCCTAAAGTACTGTTGTTGTGTGCCGTCCAGACAGAACTGACTCACTGCTGACCCTCCAGTAGGCTAGGGCAACAAACAGCACAGGAGACTCCCCATCTTTCTTCCTTGAAGCAGCTGGTGGATTTAAACTGCATCTCTTTGCATGAGCAGCACAACTCCTTATTACTAACCTACCAGAGGCGGCCTAATGGTAATAAATTACACTCCCAACCCAAAGACAGGCAGTTCAAATCCACCAGCTGGCAATCTCTTCCTGTGTAATTTACTGGAAACTCTGGAAACTCACTGGAGGGTCAGCTATGAGTCATTTCTGACTTGATGGTACATAACAATTGCAATAAGGAAGCAGAAGGGTCTTTCTAGCTTCCTGTTCTACGCAAAGTTCTGGTTAGAATATTCCATAAAAAAATTCTGTGGAATGTTGGGCATTCCTAGAGTCCTACTGATATGAAATGAGGTAGAAGCTAAGAGGTGAAACCATATTCTAAAAGCCTTTAGGAGTCACAGATAAAAATTATGCTGTAGATATGGTGTGAAAAACAATGCATAGTGCACACTCATGTTCACTGCGGCTTTGTTCGTAATAGCAAAGAGCTGGAAACAACCCAAGTGCCCAGCAACAAACGAATGGATGGAGAAGCTCTGGTATAGTCACACAATGGAATACTATGCAGCACTGAAAAACAAGGAACTCATAGTATGCAAAACGGATGACCCTGGAGGACATTATGCTGAATGAAATACTCAATCACAAAAGGACAAATATTGCATAAGGCTACTATTGTAAAACAGGACTGACTCAGGGTTGAGGGAAGATAGAAAAGGAGGGGAGCAATGATGTATATTGCACTGAAACAGATGAGGGAGAGAACTGTTTAAAAAGGACATATGAATGGGTATTCTTGTCATTACAGAAGTCCAGAGTGAAGGCTGCATAGTGGAGTGGACATGGGGTGGAGGGATTTCTTTTTCTTTTCAAGAAGAGTGAATTGGGTTGGTCAGAGGGGACGGATAAAAGCGCAACAATGAATGACTGGAAACCCTAAGTCTCTGTAAACTTCCATTACAATTAATAAGAAAGAAAAAAAAAGAATAAAATGTTTAACAAAAAAGACCCCCAAAAACAATGCATAGGAATTTTATGGGCATTGTATGTAAACCAGTATAAAATTTTAAAAAATATTTTAAAAAAGAAATTAAACATAAAGCTTTGGGGGGGGGGAATACTGTAGTACTCGTTAAAGGGCAGGGTGAGATCTGTTAAATGACTCGTGATTTTGGTTGATATCCGAAACTCAACTTCTCCTCAACCCCTGAAATTAAACTAAAGCAATCCTAAGGTCTGATGTCCCCAGATGCTGGGCAAAAACAAGTATCTTTTTCCAGATAAAATTTATATCAGCATCCTAGCCTCCAAATACATGTACATTTAACAATAGTTTCTGACATAAAAAATAAACAGACTCAGAAAGAGACAAGATGACACACACAGACAACAGCACACTCACAAGGCTCCAAATAATGGGAATATGTGATAAAATTTTTAAAATGTTCAAGATTAAAAGGCAAAATTAAGAGCATCAGCAAATGGAGCTCTGGTGGCCTGGTGGCAAGAAGCTGTGCTGCAATGCCGAAGGCGCACGGTTCAAATCCACTAGATGCTCCACTGGGCAAGGAGGAGCAATATCCTCCTGTGCCAGTAGGGTCTGATTTGATGATACACAACAGGAAAAAGAAATAAATAAAATTTTTTTTAAAAAAAAGAGCATCAGGAAAAACAGGGATCTATAAAAACCATGCAGTGTTTCTAGAGCTAAAACATACAATAATAAAAATTAGATGAACATAACAGCAAATCACAAAAGGAGTGATTTAAAGTAAAAAAAAAAAGAATGACATATAGAGGGTAGCTACAAGGATATTTTAATAGATATATATCTGGCACACATATAGCTGGAATCCCCAACAAAGGAGAAGAAAATGGAGTAGAATTAATATCTGAGAAAGTAACAGTTGAGAAGTTTCCAAAATTGACAAGTGATTACAAATTACAGCTTCAAGGAGTCTGTTATCCCCTAACAGGATAAATACTAGAAGAAAACTAGACCCAACAGCACAGTAAAACTGCTAGAAATAAAAATGGAAAGTTTTAAAGTCAGGAAGAGAAAAAGATTACCTTCAAAGAAGCAATAATCTACAGAAAACTGACTTCTGTTACAGAAAAGCAAAATCATGCAAACAAGAAGACAGCAGAGTGCCTCAAACTGCTGAAAGGAAGTAATGGACAGCTCTACACTCAGCAAAAATATTTTTTCAAAATAAAGGGGAAATAAAGATACTTTCAAATATTCACAGAGAATTCATTCCCAGCAAATCAGTACTAAAATGTTCCCTACATCAAAGGGAAATATTTGAACTAGACACCTAGAGATGCTAAAAGGCATTCTTAAATAAAATTATTGAATATATTAGTAAATCTGAACAAGTATTTTTAATTTTCTTATAGTGTGATAGCAGTTACTGATTACTAAAAGGAGTTCTTATCTTTAAAATAAGGAAATGATGCTATCTTATCCTAGGAGACTTATTTTAATGAAAAGAGCTGGGGAAGTAAAAGGTATGAGGGAAAACAAAGAAGGTATGAGTGGAGTAGGGCTAACTGATCAATGGTAGTAGTTGGGACTAGAATGAGTAAACAGGGATCTATTTTTCTGCTTATCTGTGTTTATTAAAAACAGTAATAATAATAATGTTTTCTAGATTTTTATACACACATGTGCATGTGTATATATCTATACATAAACTCTACTGTAGCTTTGTCCATTAAGAGGTCCTAGAAACAATACCACCCCAGCAATGCTAAGTCCACCAAGCATTTGGATTTTGGCTTCCAAATATGACTGTCCAGTAAGAGGGACCAAGTTTCCTTGGAAAAATGGTTGATTCCATAGGTTACGATTAGGAAAGTAGTAGATAAATCCCATTTCATTTTATGTCACAAAGTAAGAAAAGTGCCCAAAGAATGACTGACATGCCAAAACATAGGAGTATGAGTGAAATCTGCCCAAATTTGTACCAATTAGAATGTTTAAATAAGTGACTATAAGTAATTATACTTTATTAAATAAGAACCTATGAATCCATACTGAAATATATAAAATAAAGAGAAAAGAAAGTCCTTCCTTACAGTATGACACCAGCTCATAAACATAGAAGGAATGACAGGATTAGAAAAACCACCATCTGGCACCCACTGTAATAGTAACTGTTTCAGGCAAGGATCATCAACTGATGCCCAAACTGCAGAATTTAATTAATAAAACTATTTATATGGTTTCAGAGTATCTTCCCTCAAAGGAACAAACAGTACCTTTACAGTAAAAATCTAACAGATACCACATTTACTAGAGCTAACATTATCAATAATGGGCTATTAGATGTCTCTTAATGTAATAAACCAGAATAAAATAAATATAATTCTATGGTATTCCTGCTCAAATCAGCACAATCTAAATCTTACAGTGAAGAGACATCAGGCAAACTCAAAATGACAGCTATTCTAAAAACTACTAATCTGAGGATCCAAGATGGCGGCAGAGGCAGAGACAGCATGGTGAGCTGCGGGAGCAGCAAACCACTTAAAGCAGGGCCATTATGGCCTTCCACAGACTTCGGCTTATTGATAATTGAACACTTAAACAGTTGATGA